TAAGAATCCTGAAATCATAAGGGACTTTGTGTTTGTGTATCGTTGTACTCTGAACTGACACCTGTCGGGGTCAAGGTTGAGCTACCATTTGCAGAGTTGCATTTCTTTATTGAATAATCTCAGAAACTCCACAGCCATTCTCAGGTAGCCAGTGACCAAGAGTGAGAGGTACTGCGGCAGAGAAGTGTCCAGAACAGTGCAGGACATCGTTCCCATTATGTTCTATCTGGAACTAACGGTGTATTCACAGATCATAAACTGTCAGTGGTGCTGCCTCCCGTTGTGCTGGGAACAGACACCTCTTTTTCTGCAGCATCTACAGAGGGCTTGCTACATAGTTACCATGGACTCGCTGTAATGTATAGACCCTGTTCTTTGCCATTATTTATCGCTTTGTCTTCAAAGTTAAATTTCCCCCCATGGATTAGAACACATTTTTAGATTCCAGTAAAGTTATAACGTTGAAAAATTCCAAATTGTAAGCAAAGTTTCTTTTCATGGTTGCCTCTAGAGCTTTCCAAATAAACTTATAAACCCTTAGCCATCTATGAGTAAAGGATCTCTAGTTGTTAAGTTCTTTATTTAAATGTTTGCCTTGATGATACACTTCTCCTAAAAAAAAAATCCATCGTTTACACTTGGTATCTAGAGTAACCTTCCAATGTTTAGTATTCTTTATTGGACTCCTGGAGTCCTGGTGTGGCGCCGTAGAATAAGCATCGGACCACAAGGCCGACAGTTCAGACTCACCAGCCACTCCTTGGAAAACCCACACAGAAACACTGTGAGTCAGAACTGATTTGACAGCACTTAACAATCCAACAACAACAGTAGACTCCTAGTGTGGCTCTACAGAATCAGCACTGGACTTGGAAACACAAGGTCAGCAGTTCAGACCCACCAGATGCTCCTCGGAAACCCTATACAGGGTCGCTAAGATTTGGAACTGATTCAGCGGCACTTGACAACTAAGTTCTTGAAATATCAAGTCATAGTGGTACAGTGGTTAAGCACCCAACTGTGAACCGCAAGGTTGGTAATTCGAACCTAACAGCCACTTCACAGAAGAAAGATGTGGCAGTCTTCTGTAAAGGTCAGAGACTTGGAAAACCTACTGGGCAGTTCTGCTTTTGTCCTATTAGTAACTCTGATACCAAATAGACTGACAATGGATTTACTTCTGAACTTGAAGATTATCTTTACCTGTTATTGTTGAGTTGATATTCTGACCCATAGCAACCCCATGTGACAGAATAGAACTGCTCCATAGGGTTTTCTTAGGAAGACCCACAATGAGATGGATTGACCAAGTGGCAGCATCAGTGGGCTCAAGCGTGGCAACAATCGTGAGGTTGGCCCAGCACTGGGCAGTGTTTCATTCTGCTGTGCATAATGTCGCTCTGAATCGGCACCGACTCGATGGCACCTAACAACAACAGTCTTTATGGACACAGGTCATCAGGCATTTCTCCTGCAGCACCGCTGGGTGGGTTCAAACCACAAACCTTTTGATTAGTTTTTGCCATTATTATTGTTGTTGAGTTGATTCCGTCGAGTTGATTCCGACCCATAGGGTTTCCAAGGAGCAGCTGGTGAGCTTGAATCACAAACCTTGCAGTTCAAACAGCTTTGCAGTCTGACGCATTAGCCCACAGCGCCACACCAGGACTCCAGCTGCTGTCATTAGGTGTTGGCACATTAGTTGAGACTCATAGTAACACAACAGAATGAAACACTGCCCAGTTCTGTGGCATCATCACAGCCGCTGCTAAGTTTGAACCCGTTGTTGCAGCCACAAAGTCACTGTGTCTCCTTAGGGTCTTCCTCATTGTTGCCGACTTTACCACCAAGCATGGTTCTTCCTGATGACATTACCAAAGTACATGAGATGAAGTCTTGCCGTCTTTTAAGGAGCAGCCTGGCTGTACTTCTTACAAGACAGATTTGTTAGTTATTGTTGTTCCAAGTCCCATCAAGTCAGTTCCAACTAATAGTGGTCCTGTATGGAATTTCCAAGGAGCAGCTGGTAGGTTTAAACCACCAACCTTGTGGTTAGCAGTTCAGTGCTTATCCTACAGCGCCAAACCAGTACGCCTAGATTTGTTAGTTGTTGTTAAGTGCTGTCAAGTCGTTTCCGACTCATAGCAACCCATGTAAGATTTCCAAGGAGTGGCTGGTAAGTTTGAACCACCGACCTTGTAATTCAAACCAACCTTGCAGTCGGTCCAGTGCTTTCTTCCACCATACCGCACCAGGACTCCTGGATTTGTCAGTAGCCAAGTTCACATCATTTGCACCATCCAGGGACATTGAACTAAAAGATAGTACAGTATTTTCAGATGTTTAGCAAGTGCCAGTATTTTGGAAGAGACGGTCTTCTTTTTGGTGGAGGAGTAAGTTGCAAAAACATTGATTGATCCATTCACCCAGCACGTTTGTATTAAGCACCACTCCATGCTTAAGCATCATGATGGTCAGTGGGCTGCATAAATAAAACAGGGTCCCACCTGAGTACTTCTTTCAGTTGGGGAGCAGAAGCCAGATCCATGCAGATGGGAGATGAGGCATGCCTGTGAGCCATCTGGAGTCAGGGGGAATGGTCAGGCTACAGGCTCTTGTGTAGCACAGCTCATCTGCTTGCTAATGAGTACTTTTATTTTTCTAGCAGCATTCGTGTTTGAACTTCTCTTTCCATGCAAAGCAAAGGTGGTTACAGTCAAATTTAGTTTTTTATCAAATTGTTTGTACTTGAATAGCTGATACTACAACTTTCATTAAGGGTTAGAAGACCATTCTAGGCCAAGTTCTAAAGAGTGCTTCCTTTGTTCTCGTACGACTTTAACAATAAAAACACAAAGGTGGCTGAAATTGTGAAATCCAAGGAATTTAGTTCCCAGGGATGCTGACTCTTGGAAGTTCTTATCTGTTTCCCCAACACAATCCACTCAGCGTTATGACTTAAAACTTTGTGTAAGAGGAAAATGGGCTCACAACTGAGACCGTGGGTTTGCTCTCTGTGTCCAAGAAAGGACTACAGCGCTGACAGTCTTCTCCTGCCCTCATCATCCCTTAGTAAGGGGGAAACAAATGAAAAGTGATGACCTTTCAAGTCGTAGAATTGCAGTGGTCTTAATGAGCCATTTAAAATTTCACTTTTAAGGCAGGATGCAAATTTGTAATCAATTGTTGCACAATGTGAGAAGACCCAGGAGGTTGTATTAAATATGTGTAGTAAAAGGTTTATGGTAATGACAGACTTGAAAATTATATCACAAATCACATTTGCCTTTTTAAAAGATACCAAATTAAACATTCAAGTATTGCCAGCTTCAATTCACAAATGATGCTATCTTCAGATTCTTATGTAAAGCTGGGACCCATTTCACCTACTAATTGTAGTTAAGGTTTAATTGTAGATTATAAGATTTGTATGGAGCAGGGGAAAATGTGTTCTGTTTTTCTTAATAATGCATTATTTATAATATCTGTGCTTAAAAAATGTCCATATAAAATAAAAACTCATTTAGTCTTCCAACAGTAATAGTCTCTGCTTCCCATTTTACCAGCCCTTGCAGATCAGTGATCAAACACTGCTGTTTTTTTGCCATCACCAGAACATTTTCCCTTCTTGAAATTTGTCTTTCAAATTTTGCATTTAATCCAGGCACACCTCAACATGCTTTGATTATACCACCAAGCATGCTTTCCTTACTTTAATGTTATTATTCCCTCTAATACTCTGGTTACATTCCATATCACAACATTTAAAATCATCTTAGAAGACTTCACTTCAATTAGCCAATACCTCCAGTAGTTTCTTTTGCTAGCCCCATTGCATCTACCCTTCTAAAATAATAAATTACAACTTACTAACAGGGGACAATTGCACATCACTCACTCCAGATTTTGCTAGCAGGTGACACTTTGAACATTTCAAATAGTGGAGAATTCAACATTAATCTGTATATTTCTTTGGCACATTTATTTTGCAGTCAGTTAGCTCAGCATATCCAGATAGTTGGGTATTTGTCAGCATGTGGGGAGAAAAGATCTAGATGGAACACTTTCTATCATGTTGTAAGATATGTACATTTTATGAGAAAGAGAAAAAATTCTCTTATATTGTGTATAGTATGAAGTGTTCTCTGATAACATCTGGGAGTCCTGGAATGCTGTGGGATAAAGCACTGGGACCGCAAAGTCAGTTTGAACCACAGGATCGGCGGTTGAAACTCACCAGCCACTCTTTGGAAATCTACCCTATATAGGGTGGTTATAAGTCGGAATCATCTCGACAGCACTCAACAACAACAACAATACAATAACATCTGGCACCCATAAGAGTAAATAAACACATTGTGACAATTTAAGAATATGTGTTATGTTAGGAATGCAATCAAAACAAAATGTGTAATGAAATTTTGAATATAAATGTCTGATTCTCACATTTTAACACTATATCAATTAGTAGATTTTGTTTGTTGTTAACTGCCATCAAGTCAATTCCCATTCATAGCTACCCTGTATAATAGGGTTTCTGAGGAGTGGCTGGTGGGTTTGAGTTGCCCACCTTGTAGTCCAGCACTTTATCCTACAGCACCACGCCAGGATTCCAATCAATAGTTACAGATGACTAATAAAAGCAAATTCTATGGGAAAAAAAGCCTTAAATTTCATCAGCACTTCAAATAATATTCACCAGTTCTATTCTTCAGTACTAGATTTAAGCATACTTAGGAATTCTGTTTTTCAAATTGGACTTTGTTCTGCTTATTTGTAGCTAAGCATCAAACCATGTTATGATAGCCACTAATGTGTATGGTCTATCATTTCTAACCATTGTAATGTTGTGGTAGCATTGAGAACTTTAAATCTGTGGATGGTTGTTGTTGTTGTTAAGTGCCGTCCAGTCGGTGGGGATGGTTAGAGGAAGGTATTTCCTCAAAGTGTTATATTCTGATCATATTTATGAGAAAAATGCTGTCTGTGTTTTTTCACAGGGGAGGAGCTCTGCATCAGCCTCAAACGAGGGTGTACCTTGGACTGTCCCTTCGGTTTCCAAACTGATGCCCACAACTGTGAGATCTGCCAGTGCCGCCCAAGGCCAAAGAAATGCAAGCCCGTGATCTGTGACAAGTACTGTCCATTTGGATATCTGTACGTATTCCCTCTTCTTAAGTTGATGGAAACACTTATACATATTTTTTTGTTATCTGTCTTACTTGTATTTGTGAGTGAATTAATGATGTGCTGAGCCCTGAGTGTCTGTGCTTGTTTTATTAGGTTATTGAAAAAAACAGGGAAAGAATTGTGTCTCCAAAGATAAGAAACAAGTTTACTCGTAATGCTTTTATGAAGGTGGGCAGAGCCTTGTTACTGATCCTAATCTTTGGGCCTATTCTGGGGGACTTCCTCTAGCAAGATCCTTAGAAGGAAAATGGAACGGTAACGAGGTCTCAGTGTTATAATTGCTGTAGCTTTCCATAGCCATCAGCGACCGCTTTGTGACTGTTTAGTTAATCTGTACTGTCAGGTCAGTTGACAGCCGCTCAGTGACAGTCTAGAGCATCATTACCTGCCATACCTAGTTGTCTTACCTTGGTATGAGGCTGCAGTTCAACAAATATTTTCTTCATGTAGCAGTAACTTTTTATACATTTCCTTAGAGATGACCAGTCCTTGTATTTGTTGTTGAGATAAACCCCATGACCATCTAGATTATTCCAGAGAAGAAATAGGTACTTCATCACTGTTTCTTTAGTATCTATATTAGCATCTACTTCTATATATCGAGTTGGTCCCTTCAAAAATCTTGTATCACGCTCCCTTCTGTTTTATGAGGGAAAGGATCTTTCTAATTTGATACATTAATATAGTGCTAGCCATTATAAAAGAAGCTCCGATGGCATAGTGGGTCACAGCAAAGTCAGCAGCAGTTTCACTCCACCAGCTATTCCGTGGAAGAAAGATGAGACCTTCTGCTCCCGTAAAGACTTAGAGCCTCGGAAGCCCTGCACAGGGTTGCTAAGAGTCGGAGCCAATTCCACAGTGTGTAGCAGCAGTACAGTAGTCATTATAAAGGAGCGTTGGTGGCACTGTAGGATCAGTACCGGGCTGCTAGCTACAAGGTCAGCAGTTAAGATCCACCAGTCATTCTCTGGGAGAAAGAAGAGATTTTCAGCTCCAGTAAAGATTAGCAGCCTCGGGCAGTCTATACAGGGTCGCTGTGAATTAGAATTGACTCTTTGGCAGTGGGGTTTTTTTTTTTTTTTTGCTGTTTTGTTTTTTAAGTCATTATAAAAGTCTTAGATCCGTCTGCTTTTCCCTGTCTACTTTGTTATCTTTTGTATCCTTTCTTTCTCTTTGAAATTCTAGTTAAGGGAGGAGGGTGAATCTTAATGTAGTTGGAGAATTACATTGAGAACAATATTCTTTAGAATTTCCCCAAAAAGCTATATCATCACTGCTTTTTATCCTAAAATATAAATATGATAATAAAAGTATAGTACCTTCTTACCTTCACTGCTAGTGTAGAATAAAGAACCATTTTAATAGGAGTAGTTAGAACCACTTGCTGCAGTATTATGATAATTCAAAATCCAGTGTGGAAGCAACATGAGGCTGTCTCTGCCCGGGAAGATTTATAGTCTCAGAAACCCTACGTAGGGTCCTCTATGAGTCAGAATCAACTCCGCAGCAGTTGGTTGTGTTTGCTTTGGGGTTTATCTTGGAGAGAAATTTCTTAGAGGAGTGCAGATTTTACTTTGTGTTCCTGTCAGGAAGCACATTCAGAGACAACTAAGGACTGGACTGGCTAGGGCGGCCTCTGAAGGATCAGTCTTGGCCAGTTACCATATGGCAGTGTGAAGAAAAAGGCAACCATGGATGACCATTATTTTATGCATGTACCAAATGATTATTCGAATGAATGAATGAGTGAGTGAGTGAGTGAGTGAACTTATTTATGCAGGGTCTTGGTGGATCTTGAAAATGACATAGTGCATGAAATCAGTGATTAATACATTTTGATTCTTCATTTTTGATATGTAACATTTCAGTTTTCATGTAAGTGCTACCAACTTGTTTCCAACTCATACCGACCCTATAGAGGGTTTCCAATGAGAGGCTGGTAAATTTGAACTTCTGATCTTGTGCTCATCCTACAGTGCCACAGCAGGGCTGCCCTCTGTTGTTGTTGTTGTTAAAGTGCCATCAAGTTGGTTCCAACGCACAGCAATCTTGTATAGGGTTGCTGAAGAGCAACTGGTTGGTTTGAACTGCCAGCCTTGTGATCACAATCCAGTGCTGATCGTACAGCACCACACCAGGTGTCTTTTGTTGTTGTTACGTGCCATGGAATCGGCTCAGACTCATAGCAACCCTACACAGGGTTTCAGAGGCTGTAAATCTTTACGGGAGCAGAAAGCCTCATCTTTCTCCCATGGAACAGCTGGTAGTTTCGAACTGCTGACCTTAAGGTTTGCAGCCCATTTCGTAACCACTGTGCTACCAGAGCTTCTCAACTGCTTTTAGAACCCCTTAATTTTCCTGGTGTGGCTCTATAGAATAAACGCTGGACTGCTAACCACAAGGTTGGTGGTTCAAACCTACCAGCTGCTCTCCAGAAACTTTATACAGGGTGGCTGTGAGTCAGAATTGACTCGATGGCACTTATCTTGAGTAAGAAGGAAGTCATCCTTTATTTTTCCAGTTTGACACCATTGTTGTCACCTTGTGGTATTGGGGTATGAAGCAAAGGGTAGAGAGCGCCTCTTTGAGGCCCAGGATACCAGTGGGGCAGCCCCCTGTAGAGGTCATGCTATACCACCGGCTGGTAGCAGACGGAAGAAAGGGCCCCAGTGCTGAGCACCTGTTGTCAAGCAGGCTCGGTCAGTTTATAAAGATCTGGAGTTGTCAATAAGAATTTGTATCCAGAAAAATCTCCTAGTTGTTTTGTAAACATCGGATTGGCCCAAAGTTAGGCCCTCTAGCTTACTAAAGGAAAAGACAAGTGCATCCAGCTTTTTCCCTCTACCCCATAGGCTTAGACTGTACCCCATGAATGGAGCACCTCTGAGCTGATATTCTTTTCCAAGTAGACTTTCTGAAGTAATCATTAGACCTTGACTTAAGGAATTTTAACAACTCTTAGGTCTGTGGGTCCGTAAGTTCTCATGTGTTCCGTTAAGTTTTGGGTGCTATCTGATTATTTAAATTTTCACAATGCTCTGGAATCACTGAGCATGTGGTCAGTTGAGGCAGCATCCTAATGTTAGTCGCCACACTGACTTACAGTGCATCCTTCACCATCATTCTGTTCATGGATGGGCAAGTCGGTCCGTATTTATTGTGATAGCACTGTTCTTGATTAAATCAACAGTCATGTCACTGAAATTCTGACCGGGAATCATAGAAGCACTGAAGTCCTTGGGCAGTTCTCAACCTTGGTCATGGTCATGGGCAGTCGTGGCCACAGGGAGCTAATTACACATCACTCCAAGTATCTGACTGCAAGTCTTTGAGAACAGGAGTCAAATCATTCTGCTTAATAGCAACATCAATTCCATGACTCTTAGTCTGAACACCTGGGCATCATTTGCAAATTTTTGATTTTCTGACCTCTGACAAAATTTTAATTACCCAGGAAGAATAAGCACGGCTGTGACGTCTGTCGCTGTAAGAAATGTCCAGAACTCCCATGCAGTAAAATCTGTCCTTTGGGTTTTCAGCAGGACAGTCATGGCTGTCTTATCTGCAAGTGCAGAGGTAAGTACCAAAACACATGGCCCTCCCCCTTCAAAGCAACCAGAGGAGCAAAAAGAAAGAGAAGGACACTGTGTCAATGGAACAATTGCAGTGATAGCTTCCTGCTCTGACACAAATGTCACTCCCTGTGGGACCATCCCACGGGACTCCGTTTTCCTTTCAACTGAATGGAATAAAAGCTCAGAATAGAATTTAAAGTAAGTGTATAATGAGCAAGCACGTTGACTACATTAATCACCTTCTTAGCTCACCAGATTTATTTGTCCCAGAAACTTTAGCCTAAAGCACATTTCTCTTGACCTGAATAGCCTCTTCCTCAACTCAAAAGTTGAACAGTACAATTGAGACAGCAAAAGGGCTTTTTTTCAGAGCTGTTGGAGAGTGAGTGTGGCTAAAACTTCACTCATAAATCTTCTGATAGCACAGTTTTCCATGAGAATCGAGACTTCTGCCAGGCAAGCACACAGGTCAGCCAATAGCTGTGGGATAAGTATGAATCCTGGGTGTCCCTGTTGCCAGGTACTTACTACTTCAGGGCACACCGGAAGCCATGTGAGCATGCGCCTGACTCTGTTCTGCATGTCTCCTGCCTCCAGCCTTGCTGCTTGTCTCAGTTATTGTTGTCAACATGGTCCACAAATTAAGTAATGAAAGACCCCTAAAACTTGTTCTGTGTGTCTTCAAAGTTAGACGGTTATCACCTTAAAGGTGTTTTTTAAGAGGGACACTGTAAACACAAATGTAATCACTGCTTCACTTGCTCTGCTGAGCAAACTCTGTCAGTTTCAAAGGGATTAGGACTTCACCGCTAGGTAAAGCTGCTAGAATAGTTGTTACACGAATATTAAATAAATGTAGACTATTACATGCTTCTTTATTACAAAATCAGTGCTTGCTTATTGTAAAAAAATGTGTGGGGGGTGAGGTGGGAGGAGGAGAGGAAGAATTGAGTGGAAGAAGTAAAAATAATAATCCCACCAAGAGGAGAGAAACATGTTGGCCGTTTTTTCTGCATTTATTTTATTTTTCAGAATTGACACCTTATATAGGTAAATGCTTCTCATGAACATTGGCCCATGCCCTTAACTGTCCCTTGTAGGCGTTGGATTTTGGTGGCTGTGTACCACTACATGTAAGCACACCACTACAGGCTGATTCTCCTGTGCAGTAGCTGCTTCTTTACCAGGCTGCCTTCTGTCTGTCCAGAGGTCCCTGCTTCAGCCGGGCCACCTGTCCTGTCAGGCACATGTCTGTCCATGGATGGCCATCACCATAAAAATGAGGAAAGCTGGCACGATGGGTGCCGTGAGTGCTACTGTCACAGTGGACGGGAAATGTGTGCCTTGATCACCTGCCCGGTGCCTGCCTGTGGTAACCCCACCATTCATCCTGGACAGTGCTGCCCTTCATGTTCAGGTAAAAGCTGGCTGCCATCTGTGTGTCCACAGCAATGACTTCTGCCTTGCAGGGCTGCATACACTTCTGTGACTCAGGGTTAAATGCAGGGGCCGAGGCTTGGACCGCCTGAGAGCTTTCCCTGGTTTTTATCAACCACAGCCACACAAAAAAATCATCCAGGCAACGCAAGATATTAGCTAAAGGCCAGGGGAAGTTCGAAAGCTCCTTTTTGAATAGTTTTATTTGCTTACATTGGTCTTTGTGCTATATTCTTATATAGGCTTGTGGACTTAAGTACCTCAGCTCGAGCTCTCCATGTTACTGATAGTATTATGAAGGCTGAATGTTGTAGTTAAGTTGGGGGAGATGGTGCTCATTTTATTCCATGAGAGCTTATTATTCATACAGTTATTTCAGGAGGAGAGAACTACAGAAATCTCTGGCTGCTGCTCTTTTTCAGATGATTGGCTATATGGCACTCTGGCCAAACGGAAAAATGTAGAATAACTGGACATTTAAAATCAAAATAATGGTTATCAAGATAAGTTACTAGAAGAAAAGAACAGAATTGTAATTCATGGGCATCTGAATTATGGTTGTCAGTAACAACAGTTATTACCATAATACCTGGTCTGATGCCTTTTCATCCAAAGAATGCAGCGCAAAAGTTTTAGATAACCCAGGAGGCTTCTCAAAGTTGGTGAAAAAAATATCATTGTCTTTTTTTAGGTGCATTTTACACAAACTTTTCGAAGCCCCATGGAGATACTATTTCCTGTATGCAGGCCACTTTTCATGTGGCAAACAGACAAAAGTTACCCATCTTGTTAGTTGCTGTGGAGTAGGTTCCGACTCACGGTAACACGATGTGTCAGAGCACTGTAGCTCCATACGGTTTTCAAGGCAGCAGATCCCCAGACTTGTCTTTTGAGGCCCCTCTATGTGGGTTCATTCAAACCGCCAACCTAGCTGTTAGTACTTGAGCACTTAACTGTTTGTATCACCCAGGGACTCCTTTAACTAACTAACCCCAAGTAAAATAGTATGTCATCTGGAAGGTAAGGTAGAAATGAAGTCTTGGGATTCGTGCATGAGATATCCCGTGAGGTATACAGGTCCTATCTGATGTTAGAGTTTCGATGACATCTCCATAGGAAGTCACGATCATGTGTCACCTTGTAGGTAAGTACACCAGTGCAGAGGGTGCAGTCCAGACCCTGAAACCTGATCTCTTGTCAGCAAGGCAGGATCAGTCTAGGAGAGAAGGTGGCTCATGCTGGCTAGAATGCAGGTACCTGGCCTGCTCTCAGGGTGGGAAAAGGGACACTTGAGCTCTGGGTCCCTTTTAGCACTGAGATGCCACACACCTCAGTAAATCGGGTATCAAACTGGCAGGCAGTTCTCTCATACGCCTCTGCCTTTTTTCTTTCTCTGTAGTTCAGTAGAATGTGCTTTGTCCCCAAACTCTTTCCTTTTCCACAGAATTTATCATTCATATCCACTGCAGTGGAAGATGAGTAAGAAGTTTAATGAGACAGATCTCTGCATTGGCTCTTCAGGGAAGGAAAATCATTTTTTCTCCTGAAAACCCCGTGTTTTCACAGGTGTCAGTGTGTCAAAGGTGGACAACTCCCAGGTCTCTGCATGGAAGCTGTGAAAATGTCTAAAAGTCAAACCACCACCATCACCCACTGCCATTCTGACTCATAGGCTATCTATCATTCTTGACCGGAACAGAAAGCCTCCTCTTTCTCCCACAGAGCCGCTGGTGGATTAGAACTGCTGACTTTGTGGTTAGCAATCCAACACGTAACCCCTATGGCACCTTAAAAGTCAGACCAGTGTGAATGCAAGGGCACCACCGAGAACAGATCATTCATTTAAGAACCCAAAGTCATTGGAACTATGTGTCACTGTCCCAGACTCGAAGTGTTCATATACAGATACACATAGTATTGTGGGTCTGTGACTATCAAGATATACATGTCCACAAACACAATCATATACATGTGTATATGTATGTATACTTTTCCCAGAAACTTCTAAATTTAGTGGATGGCCACTTACAGGTTCTTCTGAATAGAAACCCCAGAACTGTTGCATTTGTGGACTTCTGATGTAAAGAATATATTCTCCCTTATTTCTTCCATGGGTCTGCTAATGAGTTACTTTTCTTCTTGGGAAAAATAAGCCCAACCTGAGCTTCTGTTATAGGCAGAAACCCACTGCCACCAAGTCACTTCCAACTTACAGCAACCCTGTGGGATTTTCAGTAACCTCATATGCATGTGAAAGCTGGACACTGAATTAGGAAGACCGTAGAAGAATTGATGCATTTGAGTTATGGTGTTAGAGGAGAATATTCAAAGTTCCGTGGGCTGCCAAAAGAACCAGTAGGTCCATTTTGGAAAAAATGCAGCCAGAGTGCTCCTTGGAGGCCAAGGTGGGCAAACTTCATCTCTCATACTTCAGACATATTGTCAGGAGGGAACAGTTGCTGGAGAAGGATGTCATGTTTGGTAAGGTGGATGGTCAGAGAAAAAGAGGAAGACCCTAACGAGGTGAATTGGCCAAGTGGCAGCATCGATGGACTGAAGCGTGGCAACAGTAGTGAGGTTGGCCCAGGATCGGGCAGTGTTTCGTTCTGCTGTGCATAAGGTTGCTATGGGTCGGTACCGAATTGAATGCACCTAACAACAAAGGAGCTCTGGTAGCGTAGTGGTTACGAATCGGGCTGCGAACCTTAAGGTCAGCGGTT